GATGGCAACCGCGAAGTAAAACACTTACCTAGTGGTGCTCAGGAAATTTTTTAATGCCCATATCTTGTGCCCTGAGTAACTACTTTGAAGATAATAATGTGCAATATATTAACTATTGTTATTCTCCTTTTGTTTTGTTTTGAAATTTTGTTTTTTCATAAAATAAAAAAAACATGAGATGTGGGGGTGAAATATATTTCTGATCAAAGAGTCAAAAGATGAGAATGCTTTTGATCTGTAATACACATTTCCAAATCCCCCCGCGGGAACCAGGGATTGAACTCCGGCCCTTGTGTTTACCGGGCAAGTGCTTATTCTACTGAGCCATCTCCCCAGCCCCCCTCCAAATTTCTGAAGTAAAATAATGTATCATGCTTCCATCAGTATTGGTTCTCTTGCTGCAACCTTGACCTAACTTTGGTTGTTTTTTTTTTTTTTTTTTTTGTTGTTATTTTTTTAAGATGGGGACTCACTATGTAATTTGGGCTGGCCTTGAACTCGTTGTGTAGCTCAGGTTGGCCTTGAACTCACAGTGATTCTCTGGTTTGCTGGAACTGCAGGCAGGTATCACTATGCCTGATTTAGACCTTATTTTGGTTTTTAATAGGTAGAAAAGCTGCTGTAGGATAAAGTTGAGAGCCCAAACAGCTGCTGCCTGGGCCTGACGTGTTAGATCACCAAAGTTTTGCACTTTCAGCCACGAAGAGACAAGGACATGAGAAGTACAGTCCTGTGTACTTGGTTTCCTCTTCTAATTAAGTTTAATTTCATTAAGGACTTAATCTCGGGACATAACTCTGCTTCCTCCTGCAGCTAGTGTGCCACCTAGCAGGTTCCCCTCTCTGAAACTCATTTTCTTGCAGCAAAAGAAATTATCAAAAGATTTAAAACAAAACTCTGTGCCCCAATCAGTTTTTTTTTTTAAACTGCAGAAATTAAAAGGCATTGTGTGTTCTGTTAAATATTTATGTAGGAGGCTATTGATGTCTTCATTTAAATAGTTCTTTTCAGATGCAAATTAGACATGAGTTGAGGTAGGGGAGGTGTGGAATCCTTGCCTGGGAAATGTTCATGCGTGGGGCTGCTCCTGAACAGACACTTTATTGTTTTTCTCCTAAAAGCCTGTGTGTTCATTTTTAATGGAGTCTTCATTTGACTTTTTAAAAATAGCTTTTTGGAATACTTACGGATTGCTTTATGAAGGAACAAGTTTGTGAAGGTTTTCTCATTTATAAAATTGCAGAATTCTATATTTGAAGTAAATATATTTTTAGCAAACGTGAAGGTGTGTTTAAGTTCTCATAATTATTGTTTAGCAGACAGGACTTATGTAGAGAAGTATATAACAAGTGTGAGGGTTTCACTTTATTTGATTTATTTATTTATTTATTTATTTATTTATTTATTTATTTTTTGAGGCAGGGTCTTGCTGTCTATTTCAGGCTAGCCTTGAATTCACTGTGTGGTCCAGGCTGAGAGGAATCTATCATCCTGCATCAGACTCCTGAATACTCATATTACAGGCCTATGTTACCATGTCCAGCTAAACACGTGTGTTTTGTTCATGTACTCATTTAGAAACCTCATAGTTTTACTTATTTTCAAAGAGGCATAAAATGCTTATTAGACAAAGTTTAAAAGTACACAGTTCAAGAAAATAGAATGCAGATCTTTGTGAGAGAGGTATTATCATAGTATGGAGCTGGGACTATTCATGGACTCTTCTTAGTGCAAATCTGTGGAACGTATAAACCTATAGACAGTTGGGACTTGGTTTATTGAAATATGATGGCCCCCCACAGGTAGGAAGATAATAACTCCCAGGTAAAAGTGTCACTGGGTTCTTCTGTCTCCTTTCAAAGACTTCTTTGTTCTTATCTTGAACAGTGTAGTGGATTTCTAACTGATGGTCAACTTATTACATCCTGCTGAATTAAACTAGCCTGGTGCTGGGTGTGGGAGGCCCACAAGAGGGCTGTTGCCAGCAGCATGAAGGCAGAATAGGAGAAGCTGCTGCTGTTAGGGATGCCACTTGGAGAAGCTGTTGGAGCTGTTGGAAGCTGCTGGTCCTCTTGGGCTGTACTTCTGGAGGACCTTTTCATGCTGGCTTTCCCGATAAACTTTGGAGAAGCTTGAGTCCTCAGCTTGAGCATTGATTCCTGGCCTCAGAGGGGAACATGGTGCTCTGCTCAGCCTCATGAAGCTCGTTGCATTGGCTTTCCAGATGGGAACTCAGCTTTCCTCATCGCTGGAGGAGCTCAGGACCTCACTTTTGCTAAAGATGGCTGTGGTACTTTTGGGGGAGCTCTGGTGCTTACCTTGAGCGTAGCTTCCTAGCTTCAGTTCAGATCCCTCAGCCTGCTAGCGCAGATCCTTCATCCCCCTGGCATAGACTTCCTAACTTCCACCACTGACCTTTGGGCCTTTCCAGCACAGATCAATGAAGCAGACCTACATGAAACTTTGTTATGAACTCTAGGCCTCCAATTGAACTTGTGGGAGGCATTGTTATGAGCTCCAGGGTCTCAGCTGGACTTATGCAGGATATTAGGATCTAGGTCCTCAACTAGATTCTTTACTATTTAGTGTGTGGGTAGATTTCCTGCACTTGTTGTAAATGATTCTTGGGTGATTCATTATAAAATACTATTATAAGATGTGTCCTGTACTATATTGTTCATCTTGCAAAAACCCTGAACCATGACAACAAGGAATTGGAATAAAGGAGTGTGAAAGGCTAATGTTCATTAAAGGTAGGGAAAGAAACATGCTCTGCAGAGTGAATTAGGGCCAAGTAAAAGTAAAAAATATGTGTTCACTCCAGCAGGAGAGCAGAGTACTGGAGAAGAGCAGGGTTGCCAGAGCTCTGTGGCACCTGACCTCTTGTGTTTCCTACTGCCCGGCTGATGTCGGCCTCGGCTGTCCCACCAAAATGTGCTGGTGTTCTGAGAAGAACTGGAGGGTAGCACTCTGTGGTTGGCTCCACCTTCAGGAGCTGTTCTGCAAGCTTGTGTCCTGGCACTTGGTGACCCACAGGTCAAACCCACTTCCACAGCTAGTTTGCCATGCCCTAAAGAGCCCATTTTTCAGGTGAAAGGCACAGCCCAGTCTTCTTTGTGTGTTTTAAGTAGTCTCACTTTGTCATTCAGACTGGCCTTGAGCTCTCCTGGCCTTGCCTCAGGAGTGTACTACCACCCCCAGCAAATTTTTTGTTTTTCAGATGAGTCATGTATGATGTTCACCTCAAAACGTTCTTTGAGTCTTCTGAATCTGTTTCTGTATCTTAAGGTCATACTTCTGCCCTTTGTCTTATCAACATGATACGCTGTTTGTTGTCTGTGAAGGATTGGGAGTGTTGTGCCTTAAGATTTTTTTAAAATCTCATAATTTTAAAAACAGACTTGAGGCTGGGGATTTAGCTTAGTGACAGAACTCTTGCCTAGCAAACTGGAAGCCCCGATTTCAGTCTCCAGCACCAAAACCAAAACATAAACCTCAACTAAAAACCATACAAAGTATACCCTCCCCTCAAAAAAGGACTTGGTCTTAATGGTAGAAGATGATATTTTGCTTTTTCTTTTACCTCCCCAGAATATTGGAATTTAGGCATTGTATTCTTTCACGATTTTTTAAAAATTAATTTGCCATGTTAACTATTTAATTTACTTTTCAGTAAAGCTGTCCGTTATGTGCCATTTTTTTTTTAAACCTACTAAAACAAAGCCTCATTTCACAATTTAAACCTTATTAGGTCTAATTCACTGGCACTGCAAGTTTATTGTTCTCCTGCAGCTTGATGGGCTTCCAGTTGTAATTGTGTTGACCCTACAATGCATTAAATCTCCCCAGTACTTACCAAACTGGGAGAGATAAGTCTGCACCTCGCAACTTCATTAAATATCTCATTTATATTAAACACATGATAACTTTGAACAGAAATAATAACTTGTTCCGAAGAGGGAGCCGCAGCAGCTGTGTGGCTGTGCTGCATGGGGCGGGCCGGCCACTCCCTCTCCTTTGCAGCAGATTGTTTCAGGGCCTTCGGAACAAGTTGATTTCACTGGTGTGTGATTTTCTCATTTTTGAAACAGGGAGTCTGGGGGACCATTGAACTTGCTCTGTAGCCGAGGCTGGCCTCAGACGTGCAGTGATCCTCCTGCTTCAGCTTCCCAGGTGTTAGGGTTCTAAGCATGTTCCCTGCTGTCTGGCTTTTCTTCCTTCTAGCTCTGTAAAGAATCAGTGTGAAGGAGTGCCACATACTGTTTCAGTGCATGGTCATAGAAATTGATGATTTGTTGTTCCTTAGTAGATTATATGTTTATCACTTATTACTTTGTATGCTTCCCTAACACTATGTAGTGGGTTCTTGCTTCTGGATTGCTGAGCACACTCTTAAAATGCTTGTCTTGGCTACCTACTGCTCAGACTTAATGTTTACAGTAAGTTGAAACTGTGATTGTTATGAAGCTTTACCTAAAGAAATTTCAGAGCCAGTGTATTGTTGGGGATACCTGAGTTGACAAGTAGAGGCCACACACACACACAATTGTTGTGTTAATTGTATGGTGTATTAAGCATTCTGTAGGCACAAAAATTACAGTGCAAGTCTAGCTTCTGTTCTTGCAGAGCATGCCTTCTACAGAGTAGCAACCATTACAGAATTCTAAATTAAACTATAACTTAAATTGACTTCAACAGATACTAACAGTCAAGCTGAAAAAATAAGCAACAAGATGAGATTAAAAAGGGAGCTTTTAATGTACATATTTTTCCTCCAGTGGCTGAGATCTGACAGAACTTCATGGGAGGCACGGTGTAAAGTGGCACAGAAAGTTGGTCATTAGGCACAGCTGTCATCACAAATTATTTTGGTACAGGGTGAAAAGTTCTAGTTCATTTGGTACCCAGTTGGATGCAGGCCTTGGGCAAGTTGTTATAATCCCCCCATGCTGAGAATGGGCCTCCAGTACTGACTCTTCCTGCGCTTCCTTCCTCCCTAGCTGAGGTCACCTGGGAGCCCCCCTGGACCTGAGCTTCCCATCGAAACCGTGCTGGATGACAGAGAGCGGAGAATTTCCCATTCGCTCTACAGTGGCCTCGAGGGGCTCGAGGAATCACCCACCAGAAACGCTGCGCTCAGTAGGATAATGGGTGAGTCAGGTGAACTCTGTTTATCTCGTCTCATGTTTATGCCTTCACTGGTTCATGGAGAGGTTATTAATGTAATATTAATGCAAAGGAAGCCTGTGTTTTCAAGAGGAGGGAGCACAGGTTCGTTAAGTCACTCAGGAAGTGCTAATGTGGAAGAGGAAATCAATACATTGATTTGTTAAGTGAGTTTTAGATCCCAGAACACGTGGGAAGAACAAAAAAGAAGAGGATCATAAAGAAATGCTTTTCAGTGATGAAGATATTCTTAGCTTATTGGAGATGAATGAAGTTGTGTTTCTTAAAAATCAAAATTCAATAGTTTATGGCGAGAAGGATTCATAAAGTTACATCATTCGCTGCATTGCCTAGAGAAGAAAACTGTATATCCATATAGACTCACATCTATGTGAAATATTCCTATTTATTTGGTTTATTCTTAGCAGGATACAAATATATCTTAAATGTACTTCTAATTTTTCACAGCTTAGTTTTCAATCCTGAACTCGCCTTCTGTAGCCTTTGTTTGGATTCCATGCCACACTCTCTGCATGGCCCCTGGTGGGTAATGAGGTTATTAGCGCTTGCTCTGCAGCAGTTCAGCCCTCCACTAACAGATGCAGCTAAGAAAGACGTGCTCGGCCATGGGAGTGGCTGGATTGTAAAGAATTGCTCAATTTGAGATTAGCTTGTAACACTTTTTAAGTTTAAAACATTAGATGCGATTTTGGTGGAAATAACCCCTGACATAAAACACTTGTATTGCTGATAGATTTTGCAAGGTTCTCATTTAAAGTGAAACCCTAAATTTAACTCTATCTTGAGTACTAGTCACAGAATTTAATACAATTCAAGTTTCCATTATGGAGCTTCATTGAAACAATAATTGGTTTAATGCATCCATGGTGCTTATGGAAAGTCTACCGGTGGGTAGACAGTGTGTACATGTTTTTGCTGTAGACAAAAGTTGAGTAAGAAACAATTTCTGCCTTCAAAGAACAGGACATGATGGAAAAAAACACATCAACCTGACTAGCAAAATTTTCTTTCTACTAGTCCTAGCTTTCTTGTTGGGATAAATTGCTAAGTTCTTGATTTCTCATCTTGGTGCCAATGCAATTTGGACATGCCGACTCTCTGGTTTACTCTGTCAGCATTTTTCTTTTTACCTGCTTGATCTAAGAGAAAGGCAGGGAAGGATGAGTCATCTCTCGGCTTGATGACCTGTTGGTGAGGCTTTCTACGTAGCTTATTACCATTAGTTATTATTTGTCACTACTGTTGGATTTTCCATACTTTCTTGGCTTTGGTGTAAAATTTGTGTTAAATTCTTTTCTATTGAAGAAATTTCAGACCCCTTAAGAGAGAAGGGTATGTATGAGTGCATTGTGTCCCTAGATCTGCGTGCATACAAAGTGATACGCTGTAATTTCCCCTTTATTATAGGAACATAGGACTTGCCATACTGAATCAGACCATTGGTCCACCAGTTCCTGTAAGCTGCATCCTGCCTCCACCCCCTGATGCTTCAGAGGAAGGCGAAAACCTAAAACTAAAAACAAACCAAAAAACCCTTCCAAGTTTTCATGTAGTGACTTGTTGACATGCCGTGCATGCGGGTTGAGGAATCCTTTGTATTCTCAGTAGTCTCTCCCTGGGTTTTGGTAGCTGTGACTGTGTTAGTCCTGTGTGGTTTGTGTTCTAGCTGCCTTTGTTTGCTCCTCCTCCTCCTGGGTATGGGATGAACTCTTGCACTCTGGCTGCCTCCCTGCGCCAGGATTGCCCCACCCATCTCCATGCTTCATCATGTACTGTGGATGTTCTTTTCTCCTTTTGGCTGGGGGACAAGGGTGACAGATTTATTACCATTTGGTAACAGGCCAATAGGCATTTTATGATTGGCTTGTTAAAAGTCTTATATATGTTGTGCTGGGAACTACATATCCTATGCAGTTTTATCTTATGGTTAATTTGACTGATCTGGCATTTTATAAACCTGAGAACTGTTTAGTCTGTGTGCATTCTTATCCTAGGAATCAACTGCTGCTTATGAAGTTAGTTAAAGCTCAAAGTTAGATGTCCTATAAAAGAAGTTGCCTTGCAACCAAATACCAAAACAGGATACCACGTATAAGATTTAAAAGTATTGAATTTGTTAGCTTACATGAATAGCACTACTGTTTATGGAGGTGTACAATGTCCAGGTGCATACAAATCTCTGATCCTTGTTTTGTGGTTGTCCTTATACATTTAAAATCACTCCTGGGTAGATCGAAGGCTGTGGATGTGCTGGTGTTTGCTGTGGGAGAGGAAGAAAGCTCTGTGTTGAGTTCTAAGTGATGACACTAAGAACTGATTATATTTATATGAAGAGTGCAAATTTTCACATAAACTATTCCCTCCACCAAAGAGAATTTTGAGGCCTTCTGATCTATGTCTATGGGAACACATCCCAAGAGAGAGGCATGTAATAAAACACCTAAAAAGGAACAGACTTCTACCTGGAAGGATGTCAGATGTTCACAGGGCATGCACTTTCTCATTTAACAAATGAACCCGAAGTCCCAAGATACTATGATGATTTAAAAATTTTTTTTCTCTGTATTTTAAGGAAGGGTCTATGGGGTGTTCATGGTCTCACTACAAGATCTGACTTGTAGTGATTCTCCTGTTCACAGCCTCCAAAGTGCTGAGATTACAGGTGCACACCACCAAGCCCAGTCTCAGTAGCCAACTGTGTGCCCTGGGGGTGGGGCGGCAGGCCCCTGCGCCTGCTTGCAGGTGCTTTAATCTGCTGAGCTATTTGGCTGGCCCCATGATGATTTTTGTTGTATTTTGCTTTCTGCTATTCCCTCTTTCTGGAAATAGCTCTCCCTGGGGAATGTAGAAGTCATACATTAAGTGTGAATGGTGTTCATGAGAGTCATTCTTTATTCACATCTATTCAAGGTTTTCATTCTTTAAGCAAAGGCATTTAATGATGTCCAGAATGCACTCAGGCCTGGTGTGGTGGCGCACACCTCAAGTCCCCCACACTCAAGAGGCTGAGGCAGGAGGATGGCTCTGAGCTGCAGCCAGCATGGGCATGGTGAACACAAGGTGTAGCAAGACCATGTGTCAAATACCCAGGGAAAGAAAAAGAGAATCTTTTTATCCTGGCCACCACTGTGATCTAAAATTTAAAGTTCAACTTTGAGACTACCTTAGAGGTTATGTACTCCATTCTATTTTTATTTTTGGGACTTAGAGACCAAAGAAATGAAATGGCTTGACTGAACCTGTATCTTTTTTGTTTTGTTTTGTTTTTATTTTTATTTTTCCCCATAATTTTATTGATAAACAAATAGCAATGAGACAGTTTCAAATCAAATTGGTAGGACAGTTTCAATAATTCACACATTGCATACATTCTTCCTAGTGGTTAATTGCTGTACAAGATTTGGACATGATATCCTATTTACAAACACCATTAGAACAAATCCCTCTATTCATTAAGAGAATGCAACTATATATCTATCCTAACCACTTTGAATACACAGATACAAAATGGACATTCATCTGTATGCCCTTTATTTGTTAAGTTCTGTTATTTGAATATTATAGGTATGTAAGCTCAGCAAAATATTCTAAAAGAGTCCAGTAGCCCATAATTGTTTTGTTTTTAACCTAAGTATGGGTGTATGGTTTTCTGTGTTGTGAGTCCCACATTCCTCACACCTAATGTATCTTTTTGGCTGTGGGCTGCATAGAGCAGAATTGTGGCCAAGGGCAGGCTCTCTCCAGGTGTCCTATGTATTGAGTGGATGTCCTCTGTTCTGAATTTTAGAGTAGCATCGAACATTCATCAAAGTGTTTCCAACTACTAGACCACTTTATCTAGCAAAGAAATCCTAGACAGGGCTGATTTAACCAACATGATCAATCCATAAACTGCATCACAAGTTGATATTTGGAAGCAGAGAATCTTAATTTTTCCCCAACTTTTTATCTGAATAATGTTTACTTAAAGCACAAACTAAAATCTGTTATATCCATTTCAGAATATATCTCAGTTGTTTCAATTTTCATACATTTGTGGTGAGTTTCAGTAATGATTATGTTCAGAACATTTTCATCTTGTTAGAAATCTGACATATAAAAATGAGCCATTGATGTTTCCTGCAAGCCCTAGCACTGGCACAGTTTTCCTCCTCTCTTCTGTTTCCAGTATCATGCGTGGTATTGCATTTTATGTAAATTTACCAATGAATAAATGTTTAGTGAACCATCATTTTGTATCTCATTGTCTTTCTATATTGACTGGTTTACTGCTTAGGTTGTATAGGTTGATTAGCTAATTGATGATAAAAAAACATTTTGTCCATTAAAAAAAAGATCAAAGGGAGCCCGCCAAATAGTTCAGCGAATTAAAACACCTGCAAGCAGGTTCAAGGGCTAGGGGTTCTATCCCTGGGCCTGTAGTGGCAGTCCCACTCTTAGGGCGCACTGAAATGGTAATTGAGACTTGGGGCGGTGACACACTCCTGTAATCCCAGCTCTTGGGAGGCTGTAAACAGGCGGATCACTACAAGTCTGCTCTAGGAATGACACCCTGAACACCCTGTACACCCTTCCCTAAAATACAAACAAAAACCCCCCAAAAAACAGATCAAAGCCTTCTCAAATCGTTCTTCAAAGATTTCATGCTTATGTATGCGCCAAGTACCAGCAAACATAATTAAGAGATTATGGTCTTAACTTGGTAAAGCCTGGTAATATAGTTAGGTGACTTTGTTGTTTACAACCCAGTTTATCCCTGGAGCCATGTCCCAAAACATATTCCTGGCAAGCATGCTAAGAAGTGGAAAATTGATGGAAAATATGAATAATCACATCTTGAGGAATATTAGCCTCCAGAATCACAGATGGGAAAAAATGCTAAATTCCTGTCTTCTCGGAGAGACCTCTTAACCATGAATATGTGTATAAAATCTTGGATCATTTAAAGTACAATATTTCTATTCAGAACAACATTATAAGAAAAGGATTTATCATATGAATTAATCAGTGTGCCTTTGTACTTAGTGGTCTATCCCTCAGAATATATTATGTCATTGCAAGAGCTTTTAAGTTTTTGCTTAAAAATGTGTGCAGGATGATTATTCTGTGATTCTCCCTTCCACACATCATACCTGGGTGAAGACTTCATTAATGTTGTGTCATGCTCCCATGAGTCACTGCAGTGAAGTGTCTGTCAGTGGCAACCCTGGTTTTATAACTTCATGTAGAGTTTTAGAGGGCCGGAGGGTCTGTCTGTAGAGGGAAACATGCCTTTGGCCAGCTGTGCTAGGATGTCCTAATTTATGAGTGCTTTTGGTGAATAGGGTTCCAAACTCATATCCTAAAACTAGGTAGGAAGGAATGAGTGAATTGAAATGAAGAAAGATAAATGAGCATGTTTTATGTTTGACTTGCATCTGTATTATGAGCATTCATATAAATCTGCAGCTTTCTTAGTTTGTTAGAATGGTTCATTTGATATCAAAGTTGAAAGTTTTTCTAGAAAGGATGCCAGTGAAGTTTCAATGTCATGTTACTGTAATGGAGTGGTTCCTGCTAAATAATGAATATATTCAAAATTTCTGGCAAGTTGCTTGTATGGGCTGTCTTGGAAAGATATATAGTTATTGTTGTGCTGAAATATCTAGAAAAATATATTCTGTTCTTAATGAAATCCTTCAAGCCTATGTATGCCACTCCAAAAGTTCTCATTATGAATGTTTATTGTTAAATGTAGATCCAAGACTAATGTTAATCTTCCTGTCCAAATTGCCCTTGTGCTATTTTGAATACTAATTTATAAGAAAGAAAACATGCACACTATAAAATGACGGCAGCACAGTCTGCTTTTTACTTGGGTAGAACACGAGAGCCGATTTAACAGATTCTGAAATTGGGTTTTCAGTGAGTTTTTCTCCCCCTGTGAGGAAGACCAGGACATCGTCAGGTCACCTTGCTCCATCAGAAGTATGGGCTCCTGGGCCATGCCATGTCGTTGCGACATTACTGTGAGCATGACCTCACCCAAGGTGTGGATATGGACCAAAGACTTGTCAGCTCATTGCTGCACAGAAGAAGCATGATACAAGGTTTTGGAAGGATGCTGAAAGACTTGTAATGTGGCAAAATAGTACATTATTCACCGTCGTGCTGACCTATGAGCCTAAGCAGGTAGCTTGCAAGTGACTGGACCATTACAGACCTGTCCTTACCTGAAACACTGTCTTCACTGAATAACTCAGAACATGTAGGTTCTTCAGTTATGGCCCCAAAACATCCAGCACTTTCTGATCCTAATTTTTTTTTTTTAAACTTCGAGATCACACCTTTCACCTCCTCTCCCCTAAGCCTTGATTCTAGGAGTATCTTTGAATTGTCACCAAGTGCACCATGGACCTTTCTTCATTGTGCACTTCATGATATTGTTGCTGGTGTCCAAAATGACATCATTTCTTGGAGAGGAGAAGATCAACTTCCTCATTGAGAGCCCAACTCTGAAAGCGAATGTCTGATGAGGTTCCTCGTGCTCAAGGTTCACAGCTTCCCAGGCACAAGGGTGTGTCAGGGGTTTCAGCCAAGCTCCACACCACCCTGTGCCTGTCATCACCAGGCTCGTGCATATTCTCCTCTTCTACCAGGCTGTGAGCTCTTCATGGCCAGATTCTGTCTTCTGATCTGGCCTGGCATGCACTAGTTGCCCCATGAGTGCATGAATGAGTGAGTGATGTATGTCACTACAAGTTGCCTCTCAATTTTCTGGTAAAAATTTGCAAAGGACTTTTGTAGCTTACGAACTACAATTTAAATCTACAGTTACACTTTGGAGATCATCTTGTCTTTAGGAAACCTAGAGGAATTCCATAATGTTTCCTTAGCTACCTAGCCATCACTCAAGAGTAACATATTCTCAGTCTCTGATGATACTTTATAAGAAGTACCTGTGCTTAAATTCTACTGTTCTAGTGGATTAAGCAGATGTGTGGGAGTTTGATGCTTTCTGCTATCACCAGATATTAAAATGAATAGATGTAGCACTTAGATCGATGTCTAGAATTTCTCTTGTTCTTCTTTCCACTGGACAGGTAAATACCAGCTGTCCCCCACCGTGAACATGCCCCACGATGACACTATCATTATAGAGGATGACAGGTTACCTGTGCTTCCTCCTCATCTCTCTGACCAGTCCTCTTCCAGCTCACATGATGATGTGGGATTCGTGACAACAGATGCCTCTGTGTGGGCTAAGGCTGCAATCAGCGACTCAGCCGACTGGTAAGCACCTAACCCAGAGTTGGCAAACAGTAGTTAATTGCAATCACCTTTTATTTTATGTTTTATGTGGCCTATCAGCACAGTTAATCAATTCTTTATGGCAGTTTTCCATTTTTATTGCTTTTATACTCTTAATTATCACTCTTCTAATAAATTATACCCCAATCCTGTGAACTTGCTCAGTTGCCTTAGCCTTCAAGGGCTGTGGATAATACTTTAGCCAAAATAACAACAAAACTACCACTAACCAGATATCCCTACTCATTCTTTTTAAGTTTTGTTATTTACTACTTATTTTAGATCTGTGTTAATTGGATGAATTGTTGTTCTAGTAAATAAATCTGAAATTCCCAAGTTGATTGCAACAATTGGGTGCAAAACTAATAGTTCATGTGTTCTGGGCCTGGGAGGTGGCTTTATTAAGGTTTTTTTCTAGAGTGTTACTACTGTTGAAAATGTTCTGCACCTCTTTTTTCTTTCTTTCTTTTTTTTTTTTTTTTCTTGGCGGAACTGGGGATTGAACTCAGGCCCTTGCGCTTGCCAGGGAAGCACTTATTCTACTGAGCCATCTCCCAGCCCCCCTGTTCTGCACTTCTAAAGTCGTGATTTTGGGGACAGTCTCTTTGCTTTTTTTTTTTTTTCCCTCTGTCTTTCAAAGTAGAAGACAAAATTGATACAGTTGAGTCAATGCATGGCTCACAAATGTGAAAGCACATTAATGGACACACCTAGTAATTACACACTTCAGTAAGCAAAGGGAAAAGCCCTCTTGTAAGGTTGAAGCAATCATCATTACAAACCATGTAAAGTATTAGAGCAGCATTTTCTTATTGGCCTTTCTCTGGGGTCCTCTCTGAATATTTCAGCACAATCATATTTAAAAATGCTAAGAGTTCATTCTGTCTTTGCTTATCCATTTATACTTCGCACACTTTTCTTGACTTGTGTCAACATTAATACCCTGACAGTCATTTGCGTGACATTTTAGCAATGGTATTAACAAAATAAAACAGTCCCTTGGTTATTTTTCCCTCCTCCCCATGTAAATTCACAAAGATCTGGTGCATTTAGCTGTCAGTTCTTCAGGTGTTCCCAGAATAAGTTCACCTGTTATTTGGGCTTTGGAAAATTCATATACAGCTTTTCTGTCTTCTTTAATTCTTTTTTTTTTTAAATACGGGATATAAAAATAGAGCTATGTTCAAGCCCACATGACAATAGTTCAGCTTTGATTTTTTTTTTTTTTGGCGTGGAGGGACTAAACAGGAGTAGCCATAGGGCACAGGAAAATAGCCCATTTATAATGCACAGATGTGGATTTGAGTGCATTGCTACAGTTGGTCTTTCTCTGAAGGGGAGAGTCGTAGCTACAGAGATCTTTACTAAGATCTAGGACTTACTGAGTTTAGATCTATGCAGTGTCCATCCTGGGGACACAAGGCTGTGAATGACCACCGTGGAGGAAGCTGAGCAGGCAGCCTTCAGAGCAGGTCTGCTTGGGGCTTTAGGAAGAGCCACCTTGGTGAAAAGAAATGTCTCGCAGGGGTAGAGTGTGGCGTTGGTTTCCCTAAGGGACATTTGCAGAAATGGTGAGGCCTTGTGTGACCTCAGGGTGGTGTGGGCGCGGAGAGAATCCGAATGCAGCCAAACAAGCACCACAGCTGTCCTGCCTTCGGCAGAAAGAGTGGGCTTCTCCAGCTCGACAGTATCGCCCTCATCTTTGATGAAAATGTTAGGAAAACAAAAGGCCAGGAAGACAGGATTAATAACTGGAATTTTAATAACAATTGGGGGTCAGGATGTGGTTGCATTCTCCACAGAATCATCTGTCCGTCCTGCCGTCTAACTTGTTTAATATCCTAGTATACTGTTTATTGAGTCTGAAATGACTTTTAAATGATATTGATAGGAAATAATTATGACATAGTTTAAGAATATTTAGTTACTTGAAGGCACATATTAACTCTCCAACTCGTTTGACATTTTCGATTGTGTCTGCTTACAGTTCACTGCATAATTGTGGAAGGCTAAATATGTCAAATGGCTAAACTTCTAATTTGTTAATAGTGAAGACTACTTTTTTCAGTTCATTAGTTGATTTAGGAAACATTAACAATGGCTCTTTTAGGGGGACATAACAGCAAGTTCTAACTCTCATGGCAACATAAGTTTAGAGGACATAAAATTAGTTGAAAAAAATGCCAAGTGGGGATTTTAGGCAACATTGGCAGTGACATTTTATGTTTCTTTGAAGAATGCTTGCCAGTGATTTCTGCTCAAGCTGTATTTCACATTCATTCTGTCTACAATCTTGGTGACTTTCTGAAGATCAGCCTTTAAAGTTTTACATGGCACCAAATGCAGGCAGGCAGGCAGGCAGGCAGGCAGGCAGGCAGGCAGGCAGGCAGGCAAGGCTAAGTAGCTTGATTGACGAGAGCTACATGCACGGAGACATATGCTTGTGGTCTTGGTTCTCTGAGAGGCAGATGCAGAGGGAAGCCAGGTGTGTGCCCAGCCTGGGCAATTCAGCAAGATTTGTGTCTCAAAGTTACAAACAAATAATGAAATAAAAGGGGTGAGGATATAGCTTAGTGTGAAGACCCTGGGTTTATTTCCAGGTTCCAAAATAAATAAACAGGCTGGGGAGATAGCTCAGTGGCATAAGTGCCTGCCTAGCAAACACAAAGTCCCAAGTTGAATCTCTGGTACCACAATAAACAAAATAAAACAAAAAATGCAGACAAACAAAGAATTACTGTTATTGGCAGTATGTTAGTTTATGGCTGCAGAATTGGGTCATAATTCTCATGACATGGGTTTGAGTTTTCCACTTCTAAAACTGTTTCTTGACATACGTTTGAAATTGAATGCACTGACTACAGTGTGCCCAAAGGACACCTGAAAACTCAAGATGAACCTGGTCCTGCTCCTTCATGGAGCATCACATTTATTGGAAGTTTTGGAGGCAAAATGATACTTAAAATGAAAAGATTTAAAATAGAGCACCAAGTGACATTAATATAGAACATTGCATTTTATAAAAATATAAAACAAAAGTGTTTTGTCATTAGGCTGAACTCCTAGCCCCTGTGCAATTCATCTGTTCTCTGTGCTCCTGGGCCAGGACTGCTTGAGCCCCAAAAGGCTCCAGAGGTGGCATTGAGGGGAGTTGACCTGCTGTCATGTGACCTGACACTTCCTTAAGGTCTGCGTCTTGTGCACCGGTCACACTCCACTCTTGGGCCCTGCCCTGCTTGTCAGGAAAGACTGAGGAAGATTATCTTCTTCCTTCATATAGTGCTGAGGATACCATGACTTGTATTACTTTGAATAGGTGGAGGTGGACAGTCTCTATCTGGTAGTAATTTACCTTTGTTGAGTGGGTTGAGGTTTGTGCAGGGCTTGCACCTTACATCTTCATATCCTGCCATGAACGTTGGAAGGTGAGTGAGGCAGCTGTTCCCTTTCTTGAGCATGTGGAGGCATCTGAACCCAAGGGCAGAGATTTCCCACTGGAGTCTTGCTCTTCATAACCTTCAGCTTAGCTCTTCTGAGAACTGGTTGTCATTTCCTGCTACTAAATTGCGGCTACATTTTTATTTTTATTTTGGTTCTGGTAATTGAATTCAGAGCCTCTACCAGTGGATAAATCCCTAAGCTTTCTTATGCTTTATTTTGACATGGTCTCTCAAGTTGTCCAGGTGGGCCTCAAAGTTGTAATACTTTGGCTCAGCCTGTGAAATACTGACAGCCTTTAGCTAAATTTTTGCAGTATATACAAACCAGATCACTGTCTTTTTTACAACATAAATGACATTATTCATAAAAAGCTTGCGACAATCACAAACATTGGACAATCTGTCATCAGCTGAGCTGAGGGGACAGGGCCCCACACACCCTCGGTGTGTGCCTTTGCTGTAGAGAGCTGGTCTCCTACCTGGCCAGGTAGGTGACGGCTCCCTCCTGATAGTGGAGAGCTGCTGAGTTCATTTGCTCACTATGTCCAGCAGGGGAAAAGGCGTTATCATGCTATCAGCTATGCTCAGAGCACCTGGCAGCAAGTGTTTGCAGAGATTTCCAAAACGGAAGTGATTCTCCTTCGAGACCAGATGCTTGCACTGGGCGTGGTGGGTCATCCTTCCCCAGCGATGGGCTGGGTGCTTCCTTGCCAGATTCAGTTGGACACCGTGTCGGTGTCACCCAAATCAGATGCCATCTACACTTAGCTCTGCTTCTCCTGACGCACTCGCACATGCTCTCGTCTGTGCAGCTGCAGCATCTGCTTCATACCTCGCAGTATTTTCCTTGCGAGCCTGTGAGCTCATGACTCCTTTCTTTTTTTATTATTTTGACTTTGGTCTATCCAGTCTAAACCTTTCCCCTTAATCAGGGTAGGTTCCCAGGCAGATTTGTTGAGTTCTTTTTCAGCTAATTAACCATTTCAGAGACATTAAATCCTCATGAAGGTGTTTTGTTTTTGCATATTTCCTTTTCTGAAACACAAGGTACAGGTATGTAAGAGACCTGGGGTATATCCTTTTATAAACTGGTTTCCGGCTGCAGTTTATATGATTCTAATGTCTGCTAAATAACAGACTTATTTTTGTTGTTGTAAGTATTTTTTTGGCACTGTGGATCAAACCCAGGGCCGTGAGAATGCTTGCCCAGTGCTCTGCCTCTGACCAAGCCCCAGGCCCTTCATGTGTCGCCCTCTCTTACAAATAATGTTTTGTCAAAGGGACGAGAGAGAGAGAGAGAGAGAGAGAGACAGAGAGAGAGAGAGAGAGACAGAGAGAGAGAGAGAGACAGACAAATTGACATGTGGAGAATTTTATTCTGAATATTAAATTAATCATAGAAGTTTTTAAAAGATGAACTATCTGTATTATTTAGTTTAAAAGTTCTTGAGGAATACACATGTATGCCTATTTACACAGTATGTATAGCTTTTCTAAATTGGATGTCTGCTGCTCTCTTAGTAAATGATTTTCTGTTTGTCTTCCTTTCTCACCAGCTCTTTGAGTCCAGATGTGGATCCGGTTCTAGCATTTCAGCGGGAAGGATTTGGACGCCAGAGTATGTCAGAAAAACGCACAAAGCAGTTTTCAGATGCCAGTCAATTGGATTTCGTTAAAACACGAAAATCAAAAAGCATGGATTTAGGTAGTGAGTACAATCTCCATGAATCTTTATCTAATAAGGTGTAGATGCTTCCAGGATAAAATTGATGGCCCTGAACACATGTGTGTTTGTGTTTAGCACTGGAGAAAAGAAATGTGAAATGTGGCAATTTGGCAAATTAGTATTTCTCTGAGTTTGAGATAGCCATATTATAAATAAGTGGCATGTTTACAGAATATGCAATATGTTAATATATGTTTTCTTATGAGAAAGGAAACAAACACATGTGCATATCATGCTATATTCATGTGTCTTTATAATGTGAAATGTTTTATGCTATGTAAAAAGCAATTTCATTGAAATTGCATTTGCTTTGTTCTGGGATTTTTGAACTAGAAGGCAAAGTTTTGGAGAGAAATCATTATCTCAATCCATGTCTAGAATTTGATTTATGATATCTTCCTTTCATTGCTGTTCTTTAAGGTTTATTAGAACCTCTGTTTGATAACTAAGGCACTTAATATTAATAATTTGAGAGAATATTTATCATGGGAACAAATGAGAGGAGGAAAATAACCATAGTTGTTCAATCAGACACCAATCAGGTAGTGTCTCTCTTTAAATTCAGATCTACCAAAATAAATAAATAAAAGTAATTAATTGTATCTGTAAACTGAATGATTTTTTTTTTTTTAAAACCTTTGTTAATCAACTATAACTTATGCTGTTCTGTGGTGGCTGTTTGTATTTCAAGACTAAAAGCATTAATTTGTCATAGGCACATAAGAAAATGTGATGCCTAGCCCTGGCTCATTACGATATGCTAACATACAAATAACACACATGTCTGTGAAATGAAAGGACTGGCATATTGCATGGAGGCACTGCTTTTTCCCCCTCTCCTTTTATTTTTGATCATGAATGTTTGCTCGATATTTTATATTGTTTGCATGAAATAGTCCCTAAGGACTGTCACCTAACTGTAAAGATCTGGGATGATTGAAGCACGCGGGCTGTGGGAACTAACTGGGCTAACCGTTCTACATTTACCTTTTAACAGTAGCTGACGAGACTAAACTCAATACAGTGGATGACCAGAAAACAGGTAAGAATGGGCAGTTGAGACTGTTGCCATAGAAACTGTGGTCCAAGGAACTTATCACAATTATAGAGCTGCCAATCATATTGCATGTAAACATAAGTATTCCAGTCTTGTGCAGATGTTTTCATTGTGGAAAATCAAATTGTACAAGAAAATTTTTTTTTCTGTTAGGAAAAATTTATCAGTGGTAAACATACTAAATGGAAACATAATGTAGGACCCCTTAAAAGTTAAAAAAAAAGAAAACCCTTGTTTTTCTTAATTGTATTTGTATTGAAATTATTTTGTCATCATTTAAAAAAGGAAGCAGAATCCTAGAAACCTGACCTGTTATCATGGACCAGTAACGGCGAACATTTTAGAGACCCAGTACCCAAACTGCAACCCAAAACCCTTAGCACAGAGCAACAACACTGGAATTAAAGCTGAATACTGAGGTTTTAGTTGAGTAAAAACAGCTCATATGTTAGCATCCTTTGTCTTACAAGCAACCTCCAGACCACAGAACACAGAACTCTGTTAGATTCTTCAGTTTTTAATCCATTGATGTCTAGATTATACCCAGTTCTCAAAGTGGTAATTTTGGTTTAAAAGAAAAGATTGCCAGTATAAATATTTTTGAGGAGAATGCTCCCTAGATCACTCAGAAAACCTTGGTTCTTTTTTGAATGCTGGAATTCACTCAAATTTACCCTGAAATTGGATTAATGCATATGACTGGCATACCTTTACTGTTGAACTTTAAACAAATGTATTGCTTTTAAGGTATTGGTAAATTATTTCACATAAACAGTGGGTTGAACTGAACTGGGGTTTTACATTATTGTATATTTGTTATTGTCTTAGATTTTATTTTTATGTTATTTTATGATTAATTGGAGGAATGTCTTTACATATAGTTTAAATAATGTGCTTTATACAATTGAGCATTGTGATCTATTATTACAGGCTTATAATTCTGTTTCAATTATTATAGATCTAGATAATATTAGCTTTAACTGACCATTTTAACCTGTAGTACTAATTAGACTCAGCCTGCTTGAAAAAAAAATATGTACTCTACATTTATTTAATATTTAAACATTATTGTGGGTGTGGTTGGAGTTAGCATATTCTTTTTTTTTTTTTTTTTTTTTTTTTTGGTGTGTGTGTGTGGAGCCCGGGCTTGAACTCAGGTCCTTGCGCTTGCCAGGGAAGCGCTTATTCAACTGAGCCATCTCCCCGGCCCCTTGGAGTTAGCATGTTCTGTAGAGTAAAAAATAGATTGTAAAAGTTAAATCCAATAAATCATAAGATTAACTGGATTGTAAGATACTCAGTTATAGCCTTGGCCCATGCTAGCAGTTATTTTTCTTACCATACATACAGTTCACTGAAATTCTGAAATAGGAATATGGAAGAAAATGATTTATATATGTAAAATAGGACATTGTTTTTAAACTTAGTAGTAGTCAGTATTTTCAAAGAGGCAGCTCCAGTCTTAATAGTTCTGAAAACCAAATTGAACCGCTTATATTAAAGGATGTGAGTTGTGTGCCGTGCCTGTTAGGCCGCATGAGGAAAATGCTTCATGTAATCAGCTGGGGGCTGTGACAAGGAAAAAACAATCTCGCATAAGCTAAAAGATAATGATATTGAGCCTTTAACTGAATTATGTAACTCGCATGGCAAATAAGCAGATTTGCTCATCTAATCAGATCACATATTTTTCTGTTTTAAAACCTTAGACCTTAGATACTAAGGACATATTTTGGCAGTAGGTGCAATATATCCTACCAAATTAAATTGGAATATCTTGAGACGAAAACTTCTTACATAGACACCAAGTTACTTTTTGGTCTGTTGGCTTTAAGTCTTCTTTAATAAAATATTTAAACTAGATTCTGAGTGCCCAATATTAGACAGTGAACGTATTTCCAGTTCTTTTTCTTTTTTAAAAATCTTTCTTGAATATTCAAGATTATCATGATTTCCCAGGTTAGTCCCAGGCTCGTGTGGAGGAGTCACAGTTACATTTTAACATACATTATTTGTCTTGACTTGAAACTGTCATGATGAAAATTGAGTCTTGTTTTCCCCTTTCTGAAGATGTCCTACACCATGTGTTTATGTCTTTGCTTTGGCAAGAGGGCCATGAGGAGATAGGACTAGAAGTACAGGTCGAGGGCTCGGGGTGTAGCGCAGGGCAGAGCTCGGGGCTCGAGCCACAGCGCCACAGACTAACAAAAGTAGACCTTGTAAAAGTGGTATGGCTCTGATTTACTGCTTGCTCCTAGGTTTAGGGATCTTATATTTCCGGGGAAGAGTGAAAACAGAGAATTGAATTTTTAATAGCTTAATCCTTACAATACAAAAAATGTATCCAGAGTGTGGATACTCTCAAAGTCTAAAAGATTTGCATGAGAAATTTAAAGTATTGTCTTAAAGTAAAAATAAAAATCAGTGATACTAAGCTTTTTTTTTTTTTGTACACATAAAACTAAATTGTCTTTTGTACATACTGTTTACAGTAAACTACTTTTCTAGTTTTTATACTAGTAAATGCAAAGTTTGTAATGTTAGAAATCTCTGTAAGCCTCACTGGGGAATGTTAACCTGTCACATAAAACGTTGGTTAAAAGCAAATGCAGTACTAAAATGTGTGGCAGCCATGGTAGAGATGAGGGGTGGGTAGATCTTTGTGGTAAAGACCAGGTAGTAAGTGCTTTAAGCTTTGCAGGCGGTGTGGCCCCTAGCGCTGCTTGTGTCTTCTAAAAGCAGCCATAGACATATAAACAAACAGGCAAGGCTAAGGCTGTGTTCCACTAAAGTTTCCCAGGCTTAGCCCTTGGTTTGCTCATCTCTGTCAAAGAATCATGTTATACTATTGAGTTTTTTATATAATTTACTATTATGAAAATTTTGAACCATGCGTAAATTTAGGGAGAGTAGTGCACTGACCTGTCAGTAACCCAATACCCATCTTTGACAGTTATCAACATTTTCCTAATTTGTCATAGTACAGTTTTATGAATTTAGGGAAAAGGGTAGATAGGTAAAGCTCTGAGTTAAACTAATTTGGGGGGTGGTGAAGGAGACCGAGCGTCCAGCCAGGGCCTCCTTTCTTCTTTACCACTGAGCTGCACTTCACCACTAGCTCCAGTTAAAAGATCATTATTGCCCACCTAACTATGGAGTACAATATTCTTTTCCTTTGTAGATTTGCCTGTTCATGCTGAGGGACACTCGGTTTTACTAAATACTCAGTTTCTGAAATCCATTATGAAAAAATGTTATTGTTCTGAGTACATTAAGAATTTCAATAATTTCTTAACTAAAAAGCCTATTTTATGTAACAAATGATATTTTGTGCCATTCTTCTTACTGATAGCATGAACTCTTAATTGGAGATACATACATTCATATACTCACATGTCCATGATAGACCTAAGAAAATACCAAATACTTACCTAATACATGTTTTATAGAACCAAAACACAGCTGGTAAATTATGAAAATTAATACCATAATTTTTTGAAAAGGTTTTCCCAATGCTAATTCTAGCAAGTGTAAATGTAAATATTTCTGCTTAAGAATATTCTTTTTTCCCCTAATTTCTTAACTTTTGTCTAGTTCTTTAGAAAAAAAAAAATCTTTTTTCCTGTAATAATAACTTCAGGAGTAATTTGGAAAACACACCTGTCCAAAATCATAGTGCTGTTGAGATAGAAATTGAGCAAACTTGATGAGATATTTCATGTGAACTTCTGTACATACAAACCTCTACTGCGAAACCCTAAATATAAACTCATTTCTCTCAAACACGATCATTATGAAACATCCTTTTATCATTAGTGTCCTATGTCTGACATTCTGCTATATTTTAACATATCTGTTCTTACCTGATTCAAGGTACCCCATTGTGAAAATTAGGTGAAAGATGTAGCATAAGTGAATCTTTAAAAGGTTGCTCTTGCTTTGACTCTCAATTTAATTTTCATTCCATTTTCTATTCTGAGCTATGGAAAGCCCTTGTCACAACTATTTGTCTTCCAGGTTATAACATGACACAGCTACTACCTAATTATTGATCAACATATGGGCTGTTGACCCCATGGAGAGATAAACTATTTAGTTTTCCTACTTTCCCTTTTTTTTTTTTGGTCTGTCTTTTTAATAGGATGAGTGAGACACCAGTTCCGTAGCCTGGCTTGCCCAGGTGACGGTGCCAAGCCTGCATTTCCACCAAGGAAGGCTAAATTAGCGTACCTTTGAGTGCCAGGTCAGGAGTGATGGATGAGGCTGTCTTTCTTGGTTAAAGAAATCAGTTTTGATTGCCTCCTAAACCTGGTCTTGTTGGTATTATCTCAGGCCTTTCTGCCCTGGATCTTCAAGGAATAGAAACAGATTTTTAATTCACTGAATTTTCCTTTACTCTCCTGCAAAACTTTTCTCAGTAATTGTAAGTCTTCTTCCTTCTGCCCTGACTTGTCTTTCAAACAGTTATTAATTCCAGGCCCGACAATGTGAGAACTCGCCTCTTGCCCTTTCACCACTCCACTGTCTCTGGCACAGGGCTCATGGGTCCTTGGGTTCCATTCAGATCGTGTAGTGTTCTTTCCACGGAGGGTTCCCTTCCTAGAATGAGGTTTCTACCTCATGCTGGATTGTCCTACTTGTCCTTGTGACTAAGTGCCCCTGTGCCCCAGTTACAAAGGGTTGTGGATCTGCAGATACCTGAAGAGATGCAAGGAAGCTCATTGTATTCAGTAAAGTTTATTTTAAAACATTCTCATTTTAAGTGTCAGACTTCTGCTGTGTAATATTTTATACAGCCAGAAAATGGTTTCAGTTAATTTGAAGAGCTTCTGATGGCTTGTTTGCCCTCGCCTTCGCTGCACTGCTGTGTTTCCAGTGAGATTCTTGGTTATTCTGGTTCTTTTGGATTGTTTGTATTACTTGGCAGAAAATGATTTCATTAGAAAAATTTCATTTCTTGAGATAAAAATGGAAACTAGAAGTTAGAATTTTCCTAATCGAACTAGAAAGCCACAGTCTAATATAAATTTTGGGAAAAATAAAAAGTTAGTACTGGTTATGTGTTCTTTATATATTTTTGCATGCACACTGCAGCACCATCATCAGGGAAATAGCTTATGTCCCTGGGGTTTCCCACAGCACGGAGACATTCAGGTCTGTAACTTTCACTTTCCTCTCACTAATGTTTTCATCTTTTTTTTTTAAAACCTCCAAGGTTCCCCCAGCAGAGATGTGGGACCCTCCCTGGGCCTGAAGAAGTCAAGCTCCTTAGAGAGTCTGCAGACAGCAGTTGCTGAGGTGACCCTGAATGGGGACATTCCCTTCCATCGCCCCCGGCCACGGATCATCAGAGGGAGGGGCTGCAATGAGAGCTTCCGCGCGGCCATCGACAAGTCCTATGACAAGCCCGCGGTAGATGACGACGAAGGCATGGAGACCCGTGAGTCTGGGAGGGCCAAAAGGGTGGAGTCCCAGTGCTTCTGTCGAGCTGTGGTTCCTGGGTGTGTTCCAGGGCACCCCCAAGTTCCCAGCATTGTCCTGTGCCATCTGTGAGGTTGCCAGAAGAAGATAGTATTTGCCCTTTTTCTCTTATTCTCTCGTAAATATATATTGGGGTTTGTTGGAAGCCTCATGCCATGTGATATTGTATTAGTTTGAAGGCAGAGCAGGTATGAGAATCTATCTTTTCAGCAAGTATTAAAGTAAAGAAAAATTTGGGGGCCAGTGAGATAGCTTAGCGGACTAAAGCACCTGCTTAGGCAAGCTTAGGCAAGCACAGGGACCACAGTTTGATCCCCAGCACCACATGCCATGCCAGCCCCGCCCTGAGGGCAGGTGGGGGGGGGACACAAATAATTAATTAATTAAAGAAAAAAATTTAGAAGTAAAATTCACCATTTTTCTCACAAAATATTCTTGGAGAAACTGATTATATTTTAAATGAAAGCAACTTATGTAACTATGAAACTTACAAAACCAAAAAAATTCCAAAATAGGAGGTAACAGTGGTTAATATAGTGCATATTGCTATCTTTAAATCATTTATTCAGGGGCTGGGGAGATGGCTCAGTAGAATAAGCACTTGCCTGGCAAGTCCAGGGGCCTGAGTTCAATCTCTGGTTCTGAAAAAAAAAAAAAAAAAAAAGAAAAGAAAAATTCAGAGTACAATGTAGCAGCATGTAATTGTCCAAACAATATTAGCATACACCTATCTTTTCAACAAGCTAAGAGAAATTAGTAGTAAAACTATCTTAACTATCATATATATATGATATATATATCTCATATATATCATATATATATATTTTTTTCTTTTTGCTTTTACCTTCTGTTGTTTTTTAGTTATATTTTAAAACTTTCTCAGTTTAACTCATTATGCGTTGATAGATATAATCCATATTCCATAACAGTATTTGGAGACCAAGATATCTGAAAACCTCTGCTATATCATGTCTATAAGATGATGTAAATAATGAATACATGTAAAATGATTTATGATGCTTTTTTTGTTGTATTTTAGGAATTACTCTCGCTTTCTTTGAACTAAACAAGCAGGATCTATGTGTTTGTATCTCCAGGTTACAGAATGCACCCCCCACTTCCCTTCTGCAGTCCTGGGGTGGAGCCCTAGGCCTTGTCCTGAGACACACCCCAGTTCCCTGCCTCCTTTTTTAAAAGAATTGAAACAGAATCTGGCTGAGTCACTAAATTGCACAGACTGGGTAGGCATGAATTTGCAATCTTCCTGCCTCAGTCTCCAGGAATGCTGGGATTAGAGATAGGGTGCTAGCCACATGTCACCACACCCAGTTCACGTTACAAATTATTTCAACCCAAGCTCATTGGAGGACAAAGGTAAACGTGAACAAACTAAATATGTTTTTCTACAGTCTAGTGAGGGGAAAAAAGTAACATTTATAAACACCTCAAATACATGTTTCTGGGGAGTTGTCTCTAGAGGTAAACATTTATTATGCAAAAATAGCCATTCTAGTTTAAAAAATGGAAAACCACGAATGTTTCTTTGATGAGAAATGATTTTGGAATCCTAGTAAACACTGTTAACATATGTATTCATAATTCCTAATTTTTATCCTCAAATCACTACACGACTTACCTGTTTCATAGAAGAAAAAGTATTGACCCCCCTCCCCCCACCGCTCATAGTTCAAGTCCAGACCAGAAATAATTAAATGTGGATGGTAAATTAGTTGTATTTTCACATTCTGGATAGATTATGTGTATCACAATTACCTAAGGAACATTGTGGTGTAGAAGAAGGGTTTTAAATAAAAAGAACAACATTCTGAGAAGATGGAAGACCGGATTGCATGATTTCTTCCCATAACCCGAATGTGTACGGGAAGATGAACACTTTGGCCATAAAGTGATATGCAAAGCGCGGCCTAGGCAGAGGCTGCTGACTTCCTCCCAACCCCACCTGATTTGCCACCTTCAGCGGGACACTTTTTCATTATAGTGGCCTAGCGTATTCCTGCCAGATGAGAAGCCTATCCCTTTTAGCGGCCAAGCAGGTCTCCAAGATCTGGAGAGTCAGGAGCTTTTGGCCCTGCTAGATTTTCTCCCTTTGTAATCATGCTTCCTTGCCGTGCTAGCCAATTTACTTGACAATTAATAGGTTTTATATCTGTATCCTGGTGGTATAGTTAATAAAAAGTATAGTATTTGTCTCATCATATTTTTAAGCATCTATAACTTATGATACTTCTGGACATTTGTCTTATTCTGGTTAAAGTGTTCTTAAATCCCTGGATACATTTCAGTTTACTCACATACTGGGTCACTCATTTCAAATGCAACAGGACATGAAATACATATGAGTAGAAGGTACCTTCTTGTGTGAAGCAGCCTCATGATACTGCAACCAAATATCAGGCAATGAGTAGCTGAAGAGAAAAAGTCATTCAGCTCATGGTTCTAGAGTCCTGGTCCTGATGGGGCACCCAGATAGATGGCTGGGAGCCACTGGTGCGGCTGCAGGGTGGCAGTGCAGGATGTGTGATAGGGCAGACTGCTCCGCCATGAGCCAGGACACAGAGGCAGCCAGGCACTGTGGCACACGCCTGTGGTCCCAGCTCTTGGGGAGCGGATGTTGGAAGATCATTGCAAGTTTGGGCCAGTCCAGGGTATGTAGTGAGACTCTGTCTCAAAAACAAAACAAAACAAAACAAAACAAAACAACCAGAAGGAGCCCAAGAACAAAGTGCTGTGTTCCCTCTGAGGGCACTCCCCTGGTGACCTCAAACTCTCTAGGTCTTTGAGGCTTTGCCACCTTCTAATGGCACCAACCTGGTGACCAAGCCATTTACATGTGGACTCTCCAGAGCCTCCTACCAGTGTGGACATCTGCTTTTTGATCCCTTCATAAATTGGTTTCCTGTGGAGGTAACAGCATATTAAAATTAATTCCTTCACCTATGTTCAAGAGGACAGTAAAGAAGGAGGCAGCTCAGCACAGGAGCTGCAAAGATATCTGTGGAAGATTACCTAATAGGCCACACCTGCTGCCGTAGAGTCCTGTCTTGAGGGTTAATTCTTAGACCAGGCTGCTGAGTTTTGGCTCTGACACAGGAAGGCCGGGGTTGTTCCTGGAGGCTGGTCCAGTTTGGGTTTTGGGCCAAACTAAAATCCCTTGAGATTTCATTTACTCATTTGTAAAACTGAAGATGTGGAATACAGTACACTGGTTTTCAGGAAAGGTCCTCCCACTACAACCCTTCCCTGCTTCTCTGCTCCTCCAAGTACTGTGTGAATCACTTCATAATGCTGGTTTCTTTGCAAATTTTGGATTTTAAAATGGGTGGTTTGCTACTCTGGGGAGAATGTTTAACAAGCTCTGGCTTAGGTGGTATATGTGAATTTTGCGGTCCCTTGGTGTTTTGCCGTCCCTGCGATATCATATCAGTGAATCTGTGGCACAAGTGCCATAGAGGCTGTGTATGTCATTGAAACCTCTGAAAGGTTCACCATCACTGTCATAGCTGGCATCGTCCTGCCTGCCACCCACTCACCTCCTTGGAGGCCCATGAAGAATACCCTATCCCTGTTCTCATCCTCAGCACCAGGCATGGGGCTTGCAAATCACAGGCTTCTGTTTAGTTAGTGGGTGACTGTTACCATGTGCAGAAAGGTCGTGCATAGAGGGGGACTTCCAATGTGGAGTGCAGGATGACAGGGACATTCAACAGTACCTGTGGCATCTCAGCTGGGCCTGGCATGTACTAAAGACTTCAGTAAGCTCTTTGTTTGGCAAAACAAAAACAAAAACACCAAGGGTGACATCACTGCTGGTGCCCACATTAAGACCATCACCTTTCCATCTGACCAAAATGAAAGGCCTGTCAGGCCTGCGTTTGTGAGTGGCTTGTCCTCCCTTCTCTCTGCCCTGTGAGTCTGGGGAAGAAAGTCCTTCCTTTTCTAGTGTGTGGCTTGGCTCCAGCCACCTGGTGAAATCCAAATGCTGTGTCACCACCAGGCACTGCTCTGATAGGGGGACTGTCATCTTAGCAGACAGGATGTCCCACAAGATGCTGTGCCCTCTGCCAGTGCCAGAGTCGGGTGTGGGCTGTAAGCTACCAACAGCAGGACTGAGGGTGGTTGATGAGAACCGAGGGTCACTGGCTGATTGATCCCTGTCTGTTTTTCCCTCTCCCGTGGCCTGCTCCTCTTTCTTTCCAAGGTAGACGCACACAGAGCACGGTTGATTGCCCGTCAGCTGGGCGAGCCCTTCCCCAGAGATGATTGCATGGCTCTGAACAGGCTTGCCTCTCCTCCGCAGCGCTGAAGTCATGCCACAGGCACGTTCCGGGGGCCAGGAGGCTGGGGCGAGATCCATGGGGTGTCTGGTATCTGTCATCTTCTATAGCACTTGCTTTCTTCCCGTGGAGATGGCAGAAGCCAGCGTTTTTGTCTCTCATTTAATCCATCTGGCCTCTCCATGTTGTGTGTGTCTGTCTGGATCAAGATGGAGCTTTGTATTCTGGGACCCATTATCTCTGAGGCCCTACCTGTGTTTGACAGGTCAGGGCATCTACAATCTGCTGCTTCTTCTATGCAAATGGCCTACACAGCCTGGCTCTCAGCGAGTGGCTGCTGCATCCCTGAGAATAAATCACTTGCTGTAGCTACCAAGAAAACACAGGCAATAACACAGCTTTGTTTCTTTGTAAAAAAGCAAAATCTTTTTTTTTTTTTTTATAATTAAAAAGTTGCCAGATATTTTAAGTCCTGTTACTAATTTAGTAACAGGTTTTGGGGAGAGTCAAAGAGAGGAAACGGCAGCACTGCGTATCTCCTATTTATGTGGATACTGATTTAAAAATAAAGTTAATAACTTTAAGATGGGAAAAATGTTACGGCTTCATAGAGATACTGCTTTTGAGTAGCGTGCCATATTTTTGTATAGCACTCTCAGGAGAT